GTTTGTTTTATGTCATCGTTTCTGATTCATGCAACAAACACAACACTCTGTTCCGACAGGATTTAGTCAAATAGTTTACATTTTTCTGTTTTTGAGAACCATAAAACAACACACACAAAAAAACCGTCTTAAGAGCAATGCAAAATGCGCAGCCTAAAACCAGACTCGCTGCCAAAAAGCAAACAACACAACGTTTGAGATGTGATCTCCGTGAATAGCGGTGATGCCAGTATTTGCCTGTTGTTGGGTATAAATTCGCTATCCACTCTTCAAAGTATAAATTGAACCAGTTGCCGTGCTCCAGGTCTCAAGAAAGGAGCTACCAGGAGTGGGGTTCGAACCCACGTGGACACATGTCCATTGGATCTTAAGTCCAACGCCTTAACCACTCGGCCATCCTGGTGATACGAGCACCGATGCACACTCCTGATCAGACCATGGCCAGGCTGCTGTAGGACCCTCTGCCAGTCTTCCCGTGCAGCTGCACAGCACTGACAGCACTGGTGAGACGCTGAGTTTGTTGAAGAAGTGGCGGTCTGGGGCCCTCTCTCACGGCAGCGGTCAGGGGATCAGCAGAACGGGGAGGGGGGCGCCAGCTTGGAGGGGTGCGGAGAGCTGAAATGGCCATTTTCAGGCTTTACAACAAGCATTTCAAACGGTCAAACGGCAAGGAAGGTGTCTCAGATGCTCACATTCGGCTTTGCCACACGCAAATGAATTTAGTAGGAGCAATTGTTACTGACGGGTTGTATCTGAGCAATACCGAGAGAATACGACTGCTGGTGTAATAATGAGGTCATGAACTGGGATTAGGAAAGTCTGGCACTGGGTTTCGTAGTTCACCTGACCCTATCTGCATGCCCAGCTGATAACCACTCCCAAGCATTGGATATTTAATCTTTTCTGTTCTTCGTGCCTACAAGGAGTGTGCTTTCACGGAACAGCTGTAGGGCGTTCCCACGACGATCATTCATGGCCAAGGCACACTGTGACGGTGAAGTTGTGTTAGTTTACACAACTAACGTGCGTGTTTCCTAACCTGTGTTTGCGCACATCAAAGATCAAGCGCGTGTTGGCTGAAAGGTGTTTTGTACAAAATCAAGACAACTGCAAAGGACACTGAACTGCAATGCTGGAGACATTACTAATAACACGCCTCCATTGAGATTCAGGCTGTTTGCAGGAGCAATGCGTTAGATTCCTCAACTATGCATTTTACTGTCTGCTAATAAATCATTTACTGTCAGTCTGTGTTCTGCGGTATGAATAAGTTTCTTTCTTAGTCAGAATGCGTTTCTGTGTGTTCACTTTCCTTGCTGGAAGAATAGAAAAAAAGACCAATTTAAAATTATGTGCTAGACATACAATTAATATGGTACAGTATGCCTCCGGTGAATCGCGCATAACATGCAGCGTGATTTCGAAGTGTGACACTTGATGTCCACGCAGGGGGTGCTCACAGTAGCTCCCCTCAAGCTAAGGGAGCACGCTACGGGCACGTCAGTGCCGGGTCAAGGGTGCTGTTTCATTTAGCCGATTACTCTGACCTGGAACATCCACGCACAGGGACCTCATATCCACGTCATTTGTGTATTAAGGAAATAGGTAATGCGTTTTTTTTTTAAATCTAGCATATTGGAATTCTAAACATATTTAGTATTATAGTCCCGCTGTCCTTCTATTTTCACGGATGATGTTTGACGTTTTTAAGGTGCTGCTTTGATTGCGCAGGAGGGAGCTGGACTGTTCCGGGCTGCGCACGTGTTACAGAAGGGGGCGCCGCGCGCGTGCGAGGCAGGGCGAGCACATGCGTGTAATGACCCCACATGAACTCCAGTCGCAGGCAGTGGAATTCAGGGAGCACTGGTGGCGATACTGGCGTGAAAATAAATTAACGAGACGCGGCGCCGTCTTTTGCATTCATTTAACTCTCAGCCGCAGGCTTTTCAAACACAGCTCAGCCCTTCCATCTCCAGCGGATTAATTTCTGCAGCCCGAGACAGCAATGTTTAAGTGTATGAGCAAGAATCTTGTCTTTCACATTTCAGTCATCTTCGGGTATTTGTACAAATAAGCGCTGAGTCGTCTGTAAAGGTTAAACAATACACACTCACAAACAAAAGCTGCAAAGATCATAATCTGCATACGTAGCGCAGCGAAATCGTGCTAATTTTAACAGCTTTCAGAAATGATACCACAGGCAGTGGAGTGCGGAGGAGAGGTGCAGAGAGCTCAGAGAGTGTAGGGCGAGGTATCTTGCTGCCACTGAATTTGATTCTCTGAAGTTTTGCATTTCTTGAGAAAAAAAAGGAGTTTAATCTAACACGATCGCTGAAGGTGACACATTCGTTCTAACTCAGGATACAAGCCATCCTTCTGAAGTAAATGTTACTGGTCAGTCCAGCTGGATTTATACAGCAGTGTGGGAGTCGTGGCTATTATTTTATACTGTTCTAATCACTTTGGGAAACGTTCCATGATAGATATGTGTTGGTTTTTTTTAAAAAAAAAAACAACAACAATCTTTTTCTTTCGTGACTTTCTTTTCCAAAAGCGTAAGATCACTGCACTGCCCTTGCTATCTGAAATGCGGAGAAAAGTTCAGCGGTGCAGAATTCACAGCGGGCTGGCTCTCAAAAGCTCGGAAGCTCAGCCTGGCCGTTTTCACAGAATGAGACTCGGAGCCAGCAACCAGCCCTGTTTGTTGTTATGTTTGTGGTGCAGGCGGCCTCGCTTTATTGTGGCGAGAGAGAATAAGCGGCGATGGTCTGCATTAGAGTCGGTGCCCAATGACGTTTGGCGCACTGCGGTCCGGCGCGCAGCGGAGTTTGGACGCTGGTATTTACGAGAAGGCCGGAGGGGCTAGAGAGCGGTTCAAGAAGCGAAGACGGTCCTACCGTTTTCGTTATTACTAAGGGCGTCCCACCACCTCCAGTAAGAAGTGTGCAACGAGGCTTCCTTACATTTCCGATAACGAAGAATTTCTAAAGACGTCAGAGAAGCACCTGCTCGGTTTCCTGTCTGTGATGGGGAAGGGTGCGCTTGTTGTCTTCGCTGGAATACCAAAGTAACCCACTTTCACTCTCTGTGCGCTGACCCGGCCTTGAAATAGCCACACCTTTTGAAATGAAGCGAAGCCACATGAAGTTTAGAATGGGGTCAACTGAGAATTGACAGAGTTCAGTTCCTGAAGGGTATAGAGCTCTGGTTTTTGTTCCACAAAAGCTGAGCTCTCAGTTTGCTCAGTGCTTTGTAACTTTTAGCTAGGCTTTGGGGTATTTTGTAGGAGACCTCCACATAAATGGAGAAAATGTTTTGAGTAATTCACTGCAAAATATCTTTGAAGTCCTATATATGACTCTGGCTCTGGCTGACATCCCAGACATGAGAGCATCGAGCTGTGGCCAGCTCAGACAGGCTCTTCCAAAAAAGAAACCAGGTGTGGTCTAAATCAGTGCCCGAGAAGGTGTGCTGGGGTGTTCGCCATCGATATAAATATTACCTGTTTCTGTACACCGCAGGGTCAGAAGGATAAGGACGGGACTCTCTCCTTGCTTATCTTTGGACTCCTTGCTCTTGGTAAGCCAGCGCGAGGCAGGAGGGCACACTGCATCTCACTGTGGGAGTCCAGTCAAGCCAGGTGCAGTCCAGACACTGATCTTACCCCTGCAGCATCGTGCCCATACTGGCAATGCCTGACCTAGAACAGGTTTCGTTCACGACCGCTTTGGTGAGCAAAGACAAACTCTCTATCCCGAGGGCTGCTCCAGTTTCTATAGCACCTTACGATTACCATGGACTGTGGAATGTGCCTGCTTCAGCTTTATTTTCTTGCACAAAAAGAGCTCGTTTACAGGTAAGAGCTCGTTACAGGTTATGCCCTTCCTTTTTCAGCTTGGTACAGCCACCTGCGTTCTTACTGGAAGGATGCCTGCAGCCCTATATGGGGACAGTCATAGTGAGGGAGCTGTCAGTGGGGCTATAATTGGAGAAGACACTGGAAATTCTAGTGGGAGAAACAAGTTCTCTGGCTGATTCAGAGTGAATGAAGGCTTTGGGCTGTGTGACTTGAGAAGCTCCCAACTTAGACATGAAACTTGAGTCATTCAGCCCACTGTAATGGTAACCATGGAGTAATATTAATGACAAATCACTCCCCTCCTCTCTTCCTGTCGAATGCTTCACATCTTATTGCATACAGAGGAGATACGATGACTAAAGGTGGTAAAATAAGCAAATCTAGAAAAACACTTCAAAGGATTAAGAGTTGGGAAATTTGATTGTCACAGTATGACTGAGTGGCTACTATTGGTTTAGGTCAGGAAAGTACTTTTTATGCTAAATGCTCATCTGATCACCTACAAGTGCTCAAAGCATGCCATAAAAATCTTGCCTAACAGCACTGTCCACTTCTTCAACGATGAACATCGTTTTAGCTGTTATGTATGCTGTGCATACTTCTTAAATATCTTTTTCAAAACCAAGACCATTGTTATATTACTATTAGAGCCACTGATCTCTGAGCTGCAGGGTCTAGAGGCCAGACCCAGTTTGCATGGTCACCCGTTGGATTTCTGATTTCTTAATATTCAAACTTTTCCAGGAAATATGAAGGAGGACCTGACCTCCAATCTCTGACCCTCTGTCAAATCCCAGGTTACACACATGTTTTATCCTGGAATTCCCTGTGGAAAACGTGGCTGGGCTTGACACCAAGCCCTTCTGATTAGAAAAACAACTATGAGAAATACAGCTGTTTCAGTCTCAGCAGCTTATTAGGCTTCTACTGTCAGAAGCTTAATTGCAGGTGTCCTTCGGGTGGTTTACTGTGTTTGTCCATACAAACAGCCTGCAGTACACAGACTCTACCACCTGTCCCATTTCCCTGATGCACTTGTCTTGAGGCAAAACTATCCCCCCTTTTGTGTCACAATAAACTACCATTGCATAAGAGGAGAGGACACAGGAGGTTAAAAAATCACAGAAAACTTTATCTCAGATTTTTTTTCTATGAAATATAAATACATTTTAACAGATTGAAATACATAAAAAATCAACAATGTCAGTTCCATAAATAAGTTTTTCAGTCAATAGTTCCCATACCATTCTATTATTACTGAAAAAGAAATAAATTACTTTTCTTATACCTGTTACATCGAAGTGCACAAAGGCAGACATTTTACATGTATTGGAGAGATGGCTGTAGCCTATATTTTTTTAATATCTGTGAAGCTTGAGTATCTTTAAAAAAAAAATATTTCGATGGAATAAATTAAACGAGGGGAAATCCAGGCTTTTACATCTGAATATCTGGGTATTTTCAGAGTACAAAGGTCACCAGGTTTCAGTCCTCAGTGTTACAGAGTGAGACTTTAGTTTGCTGTGCCAGCAGATTCGTGATGGTTGGTCTATATTTAAAGACAATCTGGTCAAAGTGCAATTCTCCATTCAGGCCAGAGAAGTGTGTAATCTGGTTTTGGTGACAACAGGGGAGCAACAAAAAAAATGCACAAAACAGCAAGAACATAAGTGAAAACGAGGATTTGCATATCATAAGCAATAACCTTATCGAGTATCAATTTTCAGTTTAGGATCTCTTGATGTAAAAAATGTTGGATTCGGTTTTCTACAGTTGGTCAGTTACCATCCAGGTCTGTATATTCATGTTTTGTGTGTTTGTACACACTTATATTGTTAATTAACAAGCTTTTGTTTACCACTCAGTGTCCTGAATCTGTAAAGGGGAAAAAATAAATTGTTACATATGTTTAAACATATGTAGGAGAGGCATTAACATCCGGTTACTCTTACATGGCATTTTTAATGCCTTCTAGTATGGTACAGTATATACACTGTATCTTTTACAAAAACAAAGTTTAAATTAATTTTGGCACCATTTCGTCTGGACATTTTTAGGTAAATCAAGGCTTAATCTCTTTTAGAAACTTGTATCTCAAGTTGCAGTTGATCCTGAGCTGTATCCAGATATGCAGTCTCTTTGTTGAGGATGTCAAATGATTGTCAAATGATACAGTATGTGAATGAATTCTTTCAATTGAAGCACAGTGCTAAAAATCAAGAGTACGTTAATTCCATAATCACTTCTCACACATTCAGTAGACGTCCGAGGGTCTGGTAACAGGAGATGTTGTGCCTTTTGGTTAAAGCATATCCAGAAACTACAGGAACTGTGAAAGTCCAAATCAAGCATGTGTCCTCCAGGAAGATCATATGCAGTGCTCTTCCTACAGTTAAGATTCTGCACTGATTCTTCAAATATTTTTGGATAAGAAAACCTCCATATGCATTGGCAGACAACCTTTCACCACCTGAAAGCAATGGAATTCTCCTTTGCGGCTTTTGCTGGCCAAAACTTAGTCTTTAGTCTTTTCTCTGTGTGACCTGTCCAGAGCGCCAATGCAGCTCAACATACATGGTTTTTGTGGATGTAACAAGTACATTGAGGTCGGCCTCATTCCCACCTGATGTTCCGATGCTCATTAGAACCCTGCATCCTCTCTTGAGTTACTGCAGCATCCTGCCCATGAGGGTGATGAACTGTGTCTATTTTCCACTGCTTCCATTTGACTACACTTGCAGCTGGGAGTCCCAGTCCCCTGGGTCTGGAGGCTTGGGAGTTATTCAACCAGCTCCAGAAATAGTCTGGCTCCTACTTCTAACAAGGTGTGGAGAGAACCATTGACCCGATCCTCTTCGGATTGTCTTTTACATTCGGCACATTGGGGTGACACAAGGAGGGGACGACACACATGCATTTCGATTTTATGATATAGCAATAAATAATTTATTAACGTTCATTGAACATCTCCGAGGAAAAGGCACAGAGAGTATCCACAAGTGGAGGAGCAGAAGACAATCTGGGCTGTAGTGATAGAGTGAGACCAAAAACAACAAAAACACTCACGCAGAGACTTAAATATGAAAAGAGAAAAAAGTAAAAAACAGAGGTCCGCGCCGAAGTGGTGAGAGCAGATTTTCAACAACCGGATCCCGAAGTTACCCACAGTGCCTCAGCTCTCCAGGGCTGCCATGTTGCTCCTGAGAGTGAGGGCAGCTCTGCGCTACAGCTGAGCCAGAACCTCCGTCTTACTGCCACGCTCTCAATGTGCCAACCTGCTGTGGAATGTTTCGACCTCGCACATACCAGAGGGCACCTTAGGAAGTATCCTTTCCTTGGGCAAGTGGGCGTTTGTCCGTATCTTCATTCTTCATTCATAGCTTTACACATGCATGGCCTTGACAAGGGAAACCAGACCGCTGCCCTTGTGCAGGTGGAGAAGGAAAGGGAGAGGAACAGTTTTTTTTTTCCCACTGCTGATTTAGTTTGGCCCACACAAGCCCAGGTGACGTCATCAGGGATGTGTCTCATACCATGAATAATCCAAACATGGTTGAATTCTCATTGAAGTTCACCAGGCTTAGGTTGGTCACTTTGACGTAGAGATATTCATCCTTTTTAAGTTCAAAAACTCCTCCTTGGTATATTGTGTACAGTGATGGGTCTCTGCTATTGCTCAGGCTGCTGGAGGCAGTCAGCAATGTGGATTCCTGTCCTTTCCATTCCTTCATAACGTTTTGGACGACAGGGGCCTTGTCTTGAGTTTTAGAGAAGGTTACTTGAGAGTAGATGTAGTAGATTCCAGGTGTTGTTATCCTTATCATGCTGCGGAAGGAGTCGAAATCCACGTTTTTCAGGAGCGAGTGGTCCTCAGACCATTGGGTGATTTTATTGCCTGGACAGAACAGGGAGAATATTTTTACGTTAAGCGTACAGCATTTCCACACCACACAATCACAGTCATGCTGTAAAGTCATGCACTTTACAGTCATGCACTTTACTCCTTCACTCCAGCACAGTGCTGTGAATTATACTCTTTGTGGAATGAAAGCCGGCTTGATAGGGAAACCCATGTGTTTTCTGCGCCTACATATGTTGGGAATTTGCTATTCACAGCAACCGTATACAGCAGATACCAGCTTTTATCAAATCTAAATGTGTTCCTTGCAGCTTTATGTGGCCCATTATTCAAACGGGGCATCTGTGTGATGTCCAGAGACCATACCTCTGTTTAAAACTCAGCTTAACTTGGCGGGAAATACTGAGCTGCAGTAAATGACATCCCGATGAGCTGAATCAAGCTGAATGCACAGTAACAGGAAGTAAATAACACAGGAACAGGAAGTAAATAAGAACAATGCTATTATACAATTAATTTGGTTCTCTGTGTCGTCGGACGTTTGCTAGTTTTAGAACAGAAGTTTTTAGGCTTTAACAGCACGGGGGAGCAGACATTTTATTTTTTGCCATTCTGCTACCCATCCTAGGCTGTGGACTCAGGTAGTGGCCAGAAGCCAGCTGCACAGGTAAGTCAGGACTGGTTCTTACCTGTGGGGGAACCAGGGTTTTTTTTCACTCTCAGGTGTGCCACTGCTGTAGTAGGTCTATCACCTGCAAGACAAGCACCAGAGACATGAGAGAAATTCAGTACCAGCTGCTCCAGGTCGCAGATCGGTATTTAAAATAAAAATGATATCAGCTATAAACAGTATGGCTGCGATGAGGAAGCATGGCTGTCTGTCATCCAGAACAAGAACTGCCAGCATCAATAATAGCAATAACAATGAAGGTACCTTTCAGGCCAGCTTGCAGGCTTTCTTGCATTGTGGAAGCCTGAAAAGGAGAATTAAAAGTCAAATTAAAATTAACTGTATTATTGTTGCCTCTGTTATTTGTGAAATAACACCATCAGAAAGTCAATAACACTAAGAATCAGGAGAAAGTCAACACATAGTATAGAAAATAACCCACACAGTTTATTTACCTTTTTACTTTTACAATTTTACAGAAATCGCTCTTCAATTCAGCAATTATTGTGGCCATATCATTAAAGTTAAAACATGTTAATTGTAAGCTGCGCTGTTCGTCTCTGGAAAAAACGATCATCGGTTCTTATGGCTTAATAAGATCTCCAGTCTGGTTTGTAAACCATAGGCTGTCTTGGTCAATTTTCTTCTCACATCTGTCAGAGCCAGATCTCCTCTCTGCAAGCTTTTTAGTTTTGGATCAGGTGACACCAAGATACCATGTATTCTTGCCAACTGCCGTTCGGTTTTGCAGCAAAAGTGTATAAAGCAAACAGGGCCTAAAACAAGGTCAGCGTACCTTTGAAAGTAAGCTCTGGAATTTCGATACGACCTTGGCGCAGTCCAGCAGTGAGGATTTGTCCTGAGTCTGAGCTTCACACTGATGCAGTCGTCTCAGCAGTATAAGGTCATCATGGTTGCTCACCAGGGTCTGGAACTGTGAGAAAACAGAGACGCACAGTACAGTGAATGCAGTAATCCCCCGTCTCGTCCCCTGTGCTGTAGGTGAAAAACCCGAATGAGGCATGTCAAGAGTACAGAAATGTTATTTGTTTTAAACAAGCTCTTAAGAATTGAGAAGAAAGCTTACAGGCAGAGTGGATGTAAATTCAGCTGAAGGCGCTTTAACACAAGAAAAAAAAAATTGAGTTCTGACTTTATGTGCACATATTTTTAAACACATGATAGATGTAATGACTTGCCTTTCAGAATATAAATCACAGATATTTAAGAAAAAGAGCTTTTTGACTGCAGTGCAGAATTCATTAGACCTGCTTATCGGGCCTGCAATGTGTTGGACAAAAATGAAGGCAGTCTTTCAGCTCTCTGTAGGCAGTATGGCTGTGAGCTCTCAGCCCTAATCTGTTCATCTCTTCCCATCCCCCAGCATGTAGAAAAGTTGATACTCATCTCTTGTAAAATTGACATTATACTTCCTGCGCTTAAAGAAATGTTTTTAATTGTTGCACGGCAGTGCAGGTTCAGAGAAGCACACACACAACTGCATCTTCCTGGGTGCAGTGTGTTAACAACAGCTAAAGGAGACTTCACTCACAGGGATATCTCAAAAAAGACTATGTGTGTCAGAGCTGAAACATTCAATAACTGAGGAAGGAAAAAAAATTCAATCGATTCCCTTACACAAAAATTGCAACAACTGAAAACTCGGATCCCTGCTGGAATGCAACCATATCAGATAGACAATTTGTTTCATTCTGAGGATTCTCTTGGACCTAGAATAGCTCTGTCTAATTTTCATTAAAATTAATTGAGAGTTATTAAGAAACACATAGACTGTGGTTTGCCCTCAGATAAACAACACGTCCCACTCGACATCCGACCACATACAAGTCTGATAAAGACTCAGAGATGTGGGCTACCGGTCCTCTCAGTCCAGTGGGTTTTTGTGAGCTGTTAGTCATCAGGGGGTTCATCAAGCGACTCAAGCCTATCTTGCAGCCCACCGCATCCTGGGGTCACAGATTGTGTCTATTCATTACTGGACAGAAGGGAGATCCCTAACAGCCTAACAGGAAGAAGCAGGGTCGAGGGGTGCACTTTCTGCAGTACTGCAATAATTACATTCAAACAGACAAACATTCTTCCCTAAAATCATCAATCTTATCCCTAATTCCAACACACCCGTTCACCAGAGGAGCCCCAGGCAAGCCAGCAACTGCAGGGGCACAGGGAGCATGAGCCTGGCTCACCAGCTGGGGACATGTGCATCAAAAACAACTGGAGACAGGCGCACTGAAAACAGCTGGAGACAGGTGCACTGAAAACAGCTGGAGACAGGTGCACTGAAAACAGCTGGAAACAAGCACACTGAAAACAGATGGCTACAGGAGTACTGAGAACAGCTGGAGACAGGAGCACTGAAAACAGCTGGAGAAAGGCATACTGAAAACAGCTGTATACAGGAGCACTGAAAACAGTTGGAGACAAGCGTACTGAATACTGCTGGAGACAGGTGCACTGAAAACAGCTGGAAACAAGCACATTGAAAACAGCTGGATACAAGCACACTGAAAACAGCTGGATATAAGTGCACTGAAAACAGCTGGATAGAACTGCACTGAAAGCAGCTGGATACAGGAGTACTGAAAACAGCTGGAAACAAGCACACTGAAAACAGCTGGATACAAGTGCACTGAAAACTGCTGGAGACAGGTTCACTGAAAACAGCTGGAGACAGGCGCTCTTAAGCAGTTGAAACAGGTGCACAGAATCAGGGCAAAGCTACAGGACCAGCCTTTCACCCAGCTGTAGGTAGTAAAGATTATAAGAAGCATTCACTAGTGACCCCTATTCACAAAATGAAAGAATTTTCAAATTAAGAATTATCAGTGCTGGGAGATAAAATGTTCTGTTTTGATGGTCACATATTTTGGTGTCAGTAACAGAAAGAAAGTGAGAACATGTTGTACTATGCTCTTCAATGAAAAACAGATGAGCGGTTTTAAATCTAGCCTCGGAATAACTATATTGCTGCATTTTTCACTTTCCTTAAACAAACGCGATGTTTCCCCTAAAGACATGTTTTAGGGGATTTTTGCAACTATGTACCCCAGGCATAACAAGGCTTTTCACCAAATTCCCTGTCTGAGTTCTGGCAACTCTCACTAGTCTGTGTGGTCTAGTGAAAATCCCTAACACTGTTCCTTCTTTTATTTTCTTGAAAACCAGCCATAGTTCAGAAGTGAAACTGCTTGTGAACAATCTCTCACATCAGTTAATGCACGAGCCAGGAGAAAGCACATGGACCGCACAGAGACAGACCACTCAGGTGCATCACTTCGGACTCATTCTTTTAACTGTAAAGACTCCGAATTGTAAAGACACCTAAGTTGTGTAGCACTAATTTTGAATGTACATATAAACATTATATAAATATTTTTTTTCAGTTTGTTGTTAAGTTCCTTAATTGCTTTTACATTTCGTTGATTAATTCATGTAGGATTCACAATCCTCAAGTACAGTTCAGGAACCTAGGATCTTATGCAGATCCCCATCAGAAATACCAACTTGAAGTAAACATGTGCTTTTTCATTAGAATGGCCAACGCTTCTGAAGCAGGTAAATGTCAGAGAATGAATGGGGTGGCTCTGGTCACCCAGGACTTTCAGAGAATTTCATTCAATCCCTTTCTTCCAGAGACTCATCAGTCAGACGTCCGATAAAAGTCATTTTATTCCTTAGGGAAGATTAACAAAAGCTGTAGAAATTCTGATGTCACAGGCTTAATTTAGAGTTGCACCTGCTTCACGACACAGCTCTGGGAGAGGGCTTTCTTGATCAGGTTTCGGTGCTGATAGTCCCCTAACCTGTCAGACTGTGGTTGCGGAGTGGCCCTGGCTGTGATGGTGGGCTATCCCCCCAGCCGATCCACCACTGTGGCCAAGAGCCGGCTAGAGCAGAAAAGTTCTCTTACCTCTTCAACCTTGCGGAACAGGTACATGAACATGATGACCGACACGACCATGTGGACCAGGATCACCGCGGACAGGAACCAGATGACCGGCCGGGTCGGGGAGCCGGAGGAGACGCGGGCCATCTGGCGGGGCGGCAGTGGTGGCGGCAGGGTGGTGTTGTAGGTGTTGATCATGGCGGCCCCGGGGCGACGCAGAGGAGACGAGACGGAGCTGAGGAGAAGTGCCTGCTTCAAAGACCCATGCAGTTCTGAGGAACTCCTCTCGAGAGGGTGGAAGATAAATGCCACTTCCTGGTTGCTCTTGACTTTCAAGTGCCTCAGGTGTCTTGTGCTGTCGTCTCACGCCAGACCACGCCGCTCACACTTGGCGCTTCTTTCCGTGGATTTTTCCACCTCCTGTCATGACAGTTCCTGAGACACCACAGACCAAGTGGTGATTCACCTTCCACTCCTGAGCAGATCTAGAAGATCCAGCAAGCTCCCTTTTGTTGTGGTGCCGCAAATTCAAATGTTTGTGAATGCCAACACCTGGGAGAATCTAAAGTGACCGTAGATGAAAAGATAAAAAAGCTATTTTACATCAAATAATTAACATCTCAATCCCAATCAGGCTAGAAGTACAGTGCAACAGCAACATTAGAGCCCTCTGCTTAAATATCTCTGCTGGAAATATGAAGCAGAAGAGTTGCTCTATGACAGAACACAGTTTCTGACAGTTGCTAATAGAGGCGCCGAGTTTAGGAGGGTTTACTTTAGGTGCTTAGTTTATCACACGCTGAGTTGTGTGATGTTCTCAGCAAGCCTAAAATAAAATTGCTTCCTGTGCACTGCAAAGCTTTTAGCAATTGAAAAATTATTTCACAACTGGGGGTGGGGAGTAAATTGCGCTGTGATGTAAAAAAGCGTAAACAAAGTTTGAAACAACCACAGATAATGTCAGAGACTGCCGGGCCTCTTTAACTGTCTTCCTTCTGTCTTTTAGAGGCATACACCTGTCACACCTCATTGTTACACTCATTGTTGTCTTCTTCTGAAGCTCAATTCACTTCGGAGATAAACACTCTGTATTTGATTGCTGTATTAGTAATTCATTTAACACACAAAAACAGGACATTTAGAAAAAAATGTGTAATATCTGTGAAAAGCATAGGTCACTCTGGGACAACGTTTATGTGTGCTGTATGTGGTTCCTGTGGTATAACTGCATGCTAACTATTAGCACTGCTGTTGTTGCTGTTACTTAATAAAAACGTTCCGTAACAATACACTGAACACACACTTAAAAACCCAAAGCAAACTAAGCAAAAATATTGTAATGCACACGGCCGCCATGCAGGTTATTCGAGCTGGCTTACCAGCGCAGTGACGTCACCGCCCTTCACTGTGAATAGCAGGGACCACAGGCGCCGGGCTGAGGGGAGATCTCCCTTTAGCTCAACTGGCTGGGTCCCTGTTGAGTGACACTGGAGGTCCGGGTTTGAGTCCCCAACAGTGGGGGGGCAACCTGAGGCAGCAGCAGCGAGGGCACATACCCATGTGGACCCAAGAGCGCTACAATATATTTATTTTATGCCTTTATCCAAAGCAGCTGACACTGGTACCCATTTATTCAGCTGTGCATTTTGCTACACCCATTTAGATCAAGTACCTTCCAATGCCCCACCTGGGCCTTGAATCCATAACGTGCTAGTTACAGGGACAGATCACTGCTTCCTGGACGTCCACATGCAGATGCAAACTACAGACTAGAGCAGGAAACAGATCTGGCTGTGGAATCTCTTGTGGAACAGTTTGCGTCTGTGTGTCTTGGAAGGGTTGGGAAGTTATGTGGATCACGGCATTCATTAAACACTCAAATTAAATAATAAGTATTCACTAGGAATAACAGCAGAATAAAGCGTCATGAAAGGATTATGGAGTGAAAATCTGTCTTAACATGCCTGGCTGAGGGCTGACCTCCCCGCCAGAGGGCAAGGAGGCCAGGACCCCCATGCAGGGTGACCAAGGGGCAGCTGCAGAGGGGGAGATGGGGTGGAGGTGGGATGCAAAAGACGTATGCGGGTGAGAGATGGGGATCACGTGGGAATTTATAGTGTTTTAGGAGAGCAAAGGACGTCGGGAGCGATTGCCAATTACTGACGGGTGAGTCTCATTGAACTTGTTTGTTGTCATCCCTCCCGAACGGTCGTTATAAAGTCCATACAATCAGCAGCACTTGGACGTCTCACACTTGTATTGTCCCACATGGGAAATTTGCTTTGCAGGCAGATAGAAGACAATTTACATCACACAATACCTTTCCATGAGCACTGGGCTGGCCTGTCCCTGCAGAGCCTTGGGTACAGTAAGAATGATAAGGTGCCTCAGGCTGCAGCTAAGCTCCCACAGTCTGCTTCATTAACATAGTGTGAGGACTTGCTATGGTTACTCCTGTGAAGAAGAGCTTCAGGAGCTTTTTCAAACATGATTATGCCACCTACTGGTGTTATTCCCTCTGATACGTATTTCTGTAAATCAGTTCAAAAATGGTAAAGAGATGTTCTTGTACACAATCTAAGTGCTTCTTACAGATGCAGTCATTTAGCAAGCGCAAGCCTAACTGAACCGTGTAACAACTTTCAGGTTATGACTGTACAGGATAAGCATTGCATTAACACTCCTGGCACCCTGACTCTGTGCCCTGTGTGGCTTCTCTCCTGTCCTTCTCCTCAGTGGCTCAGCTTCTACGTTTAAGCTTTCATTCGAGGACAGTGCCAACTGCACAAACTTCTGGCAAGGAAAAACACAAATTAAAATGTCTCCCTCTTCTATTTAAGAGGCCCCTGGAGGAAACCGTATTTGTAAACAGTGAGATTTATTTGTAAATTAGCTCCTAGTGAATTATCTTCCACCACATGTCTAATCACGGTGTCCTCATTCAAACTTTGCTGTGTGTCCTGGGGCTATATAAAATTGGATCCCGATTCCCCTTTTAAATTCTTCATTTCCTTTGTCCAGCTGCTCCCAAAGCCCTCGATTATTATGAGTACATCGTGAACGATTATTTCCATTATTGTTTTTAAAATACCCTTCAATGTTTTAAAGTGCGTGGGAAGAGGGCAACATTGACATTAAGTCTCTCCAGTCCTGTTGTGAAGCTCTTGCTAGTCAGACATCTTGACTCTCAATGCAAGATTGTGAGGGTCTGTTTTCTTGAGGTGCTGTATAAATGTGCGACTTTTGTGGTTACAGTGCGAATGACAAATCCCCCTGTCTGTTCACACGCCTGGTCTGCGTTCTCGCCGCCAGCCAGAGAGGAAGGTGGGTCACAGTACGAAGGTATCTACTCCCCATTCATACTTATCCACAAATGAGGTGTGCAGCTGGTCGCGGTCTGTGGTCAGACACACTCAGGTCTGTCAGGCAGATCAATAGAATCAAAGTGCAGTGTAGGCACCACATCATTTTTGAACAGGTCATTTTCTAGCAATAAAGGTAACCTTGTATCTGTATCACACCTGTCTGCTCTGCCTGGGAGCTCTGTTAATGAACCAATATTAGCCAGCAGCCATATCACCCTGCAACTCACAGCTGGCAGCCCACTGAAGCTCAGCAGGTGTGACCCTGATCAGTACCTGGATGGGAGACCTCCTGGAAAAAACTAAGGCTGCTGCTGGAAGAGGTGTTAGTGAGGCCAGCAGGGGGCGCTCACCCTGTGGTCTGTGTGGGTCCTAATGCCCCAGTATAGTGACGGGGACACTACACTGTAAAAAGGCACTGTCCTTCGGATGAGACATAAAACTGAGGTCCTGACTCTCTGTGGTCATTAAAAATCCCAGGGAGCTTCTCGAAAAGAGTAGGGGTGCAACCCTGGTGTCCTGGCCAAATTTCCCTGGCCAACCCTGGCTTTAACCAGTCATGGACTCCTAATAATCCCCATCTCTGAACTGGCTTCATCACTCTGTTCTCTGTTCTGGTGTGTGGGGAGTGTACTGGTGCTCTCTGGCTGCCCTCGCATCATCCAGGTGTGGCTGCACACTGGTGGTGGTGGAGGGGAGCCCCATTACCTGTGAAGAGCTTTGAGTGGAGTGTCCAGAAAAGTGCTAATAAATTGTAAGGAATTATTATTGTTAACAAATATGAACCTATTTGGAATCAGTTGTATCAGGAGGTCATATTGCAGGAACCAGTTCTGTGTAGTAGGGCAGGGGATCCTGGTTCTGGGACCCCCACGCCTGCTGGTCCTCATTCCAGTCGAGCTCTTGGTTGCACAATTTCACCCTTCATTGACTTAACAGGAGAATTATGCCGAGTTCTTTGAATGTTTTCAGCTCATAAACGTGTTGGATGCTGCCTTTTAACTATTGCATTTCACACGTGACAAAAAAATCCCCAAAATCTTGTGTTGGGAAAAACAAAACTTGCAGATGTTTCTCAATGAGCAACTTTGAATTACGGCTTGAACTAGGTAACGAAGCTGTGCAGCAATGCCTCTAGCTGGTGGGTGTCTCTCCAGGGCAGGACTGGGAACCCCTGTCCAAATGTACTTGAACGTTATGTACTGTTAGAGTTTAATTTCTGGGTGAAGAATAACAGTAGAGTAAAATGTACTCAAACACGCAGGTCTAGGTGGCAGTGTGACCTGTCCATAAACCAAGGGCTGCATTGTTAAAGCACTGTCTGTCTTCTTGTCCAGCCCTGGCACATTACTGCTATAAAGATCCAGCAATGATTGTGTTGTTGTTTAGCGTAAACTAAATTCCTGAAGCCGAGTCCCGGGGCAACTGGCAGAATCACTCCCGCCCTCCACTAACGTATCCTCCCTGTGGTGAGGGGAAAAGCTATTCCTTACACTGGAGAGCGGAGCGGTGACTTAGGTGTCCTGCTGTCCAGCAAACCTTCATATATGTCCTAAAAGACTGAGCACCTCCCAGGAGCTAAGTTAGGTCACAGACTTGTTCCTCGTGAGCTGCTCACGGTCCCTGGTGAAACCTGGCAGGCTTACACCACGTGGTTTCACTGCCCTGCCACGGTTAGCTGTACCTCACCACACATGCTTACAACTCACTTTCCATGGCCTGACTCTCCCTGACTACTCCTATGATATGACACATACAGCGAGGGGGTAATACTGCGCTCACACAGAGCTAAAACCCTATAGATTTAGATTAGATACAGCACTACAGCAAAGGAGATGTCTCATCCTACTCGTCACAGTCACTGTGCCTGTGAAACCTGAGCCCGGAATTCAGCAGAAATCGAGGTGTGAACTCCAGCCCACAATCCTTCCTTCAGCACTGTGAGAGAGCGGCGAGCACGTAATGGGCGTTGCGGAGAAAAGGCAACATGTGTTTGCATGGGGCTGCTCAAGACCCAGGGGTGAGGGGAACAAGCCCTGCACTCTGGAGAGGAGCGGGTGGGGAACGGGAGGCGATAGTGTCCCGCAAACCCAACACAGCCTGCAAACTCAGCAGTTCCCCTGCCAGGACCGTGAAAATGATTCACTTGCGGCTTCCTGTTGTCTGTATTGCTTTGCATTTATCACTACTATCTTTGTCAGCCTAACCTAAATCCCCTTGAATTGGCAAAACCCCCTTCAATGTGCGAACATCGATTCTGCCAGAGGTCCGTGCCACGAGACAAGACGTGGGGTTTCTGTTCATGAAGGATGAAGGAATAATCACAAACTCAGCACTCAGAGGCCTGATTTGTGACTAAAGGCACAAAAAAAGTTTTTTTATGCACTCACTGTGATTACCATTGTCATTCTGAACTTAATTTCACACTGTGTTGCCCAGATAGTACTTCCATTCTGCACCAAGGCAGTAAAATGCCTTAGACATCTATTTTTTAGGGGGGGTGGCTGTGGCTGATGCTTAACTTTTGAGTTTCACTGAATTAAACTGAATTCATTCACTGAATCACCACATGCATGAAAAGCGGTATGTTCCGTAGTGGACTTTTGGATGCGTTAAGGGGAAACAGTGAGCCGAAGCCTTCCAGCGTAGTGAAATCATGACAGCAAGTCTGAATTTGCATTCCGCTTGACTGAGGCAAGGAGTGGCTGAGGTCACCCGCGGTGAACAGAAAATGTGATGTGGTACAGCAGTCCCAAACGTCTTTTCAGGCTCTCTTGATTATTTTCAACCGGGAATGGAAGAACTCTGACAAAAGATAATGATGTAAGAAGACCGACCTTCTCTTCATTTTGCATTTTTACCAGGTCTTTCCTTTTCGTGACGCAGCCCTGGTGTTTCGAAAGGGATTTCTTGCTGGCAAGGTTGAAATTTCTGCTCCCCTCAAACTTTCCACAAACCCACGTTTGCTGAGCGCAAAGCTTCGGGGTGTCAAGCTGAGACACTTAACGGAAATGCTCAGACAAGGTGTCTTCTTCACAGCCTGCAGATGTGTGCTCCGTTTCCCTGGCTGAGAGCAGGTCTTTTTTTAAACGCTTCAGAAAGGAGAGCACTATGACTGTGCCTCCCCACACCTGCACACTCTGGTGGGAAATACCTTTCTTCAACCACCTTCACACCCCTGAGTAAACCCGGGGGTGGAACAAGGGTGTGAAACGCTCAGTGTGTTCAGATTGAGCTTTCTTTTAGTTTAAATCTAGAAAAACGTTGTTTTTTTTAGTTGTTGTTTGCTTGCCTTTTCATTACATAGTTTGTTTCAAAACTCCATGTCACAATGATCATGTTTCAGAAGGGCACAATTCATTTTAACCAAACTAATGTGTTAAAAGCACGTGTGTTCAGAATAATGTCATGAATATAATTACACCTACAGAGACATTTCAGTGAGTTACGCTCAAATGTTACAAACTCCATCAGTCTAGAGATTTTCCCAGGTACATTATATACACATTGTATTTTATATTATCTGTTGCAACGTTGTTATTACTTATGTGTTCTATCTCATCTCATGGAGTTTTGTGTCACAAATTCCACATTTCTACACAAATTCCATGTGACTCACAAAGGGTTTTTTTCTGGCTGATTTTCCAAAATTAAGTGGGAAAGAAAAAACAAAAGCAATCAATTGACTTTCACCCCATTCTTCTCCCATTCTTTGCTAGGTGTGCACCTTCAAACCTTTCCTCTTGCCCAAAAGAAATTCATAAAAATGCTTTTTATGAGCATGTCTGGGTTGTGGGTTCACAAGGAATAATCCCTATTTCATGTCAAGTGAGCATTAAAAATCTAGCGCTGCTAGAAATATAGTATTGCAATAGCCAAGGCACTCTGATGCTTTAACTATACCTATTAAAGATGACAGTGATACAAGGTGAATTTGGGGTTGTATGTATTTGTGAATGTATGTGACACAACTGTAGGTCACTTTTGATCTACTCAGAGTATAGTGTGTAGGGTATAGTTTGCAATCAGATACAGACATCAGATTCGTTGTATGTGTGACTACACAATAACAAAAAAAAACAGCTGAACTGGTCAATATTGATCAAAGTCTGACATTTGTCATCTCTGTGTGGTAATGTGGCTTTCCTGCTCCGTAGCGTCTGCTGGCTTCCTATCGCAGCAAACAAACATTTTGTAAAGCAGTGAGATGTGTGGTTCAGTAAATCTTGAGTCAACCACCCCTCTGTTGAACAGTGTACAAACATGCACAATGAACATCTCCCGTACCGCATTCATTACATGAACAAAATGGTCGGCACTAAAAATAGTTCAAAGACATTATTACTGGAGTCTTAATAAGGCAAAAGCACCCCATTATTTTGATGGTTAGTCATACATAAGTAACTTACTGTGAATTGCTTTCTCAGCTGAACATAGTCAGCACTTACTGTAATGAGCAAAACTGCAATTTAGTGAGAAAATGTATTGAGCACGTTGAAAATTGAGTTGAAATGTGTTTAGTCCCTGTTTTCTGTATTTTATCAAAATGGGTTATGGCGTATACCTAAGGCAAGCTAGAAGGCTTCCCTAAAATATTTTCTTCATAACACAAGTACAAGTGATTTTTTATGTACCCATTAGCACAAGACTCATACAATGAGGATTTTTGCCTTTTAAAGGTAAGAATGATTAAAAAAAAGAACACTGTTTCAGGTAGTACAGCTTTAGATCATACAAACTGTACTACAGCACAAGATCCTTGTTTGAAGTCATCAGGCTGCCTTCAGTGCTTGCTGGCCCCTTCTTGACTGATGAAAGCAAGGCCGAGTCCTCACCCTGCTGACATCACAGCCAGAAGGCTTGAACTCACTTCAGCTTCCAGCTCTTGTGTGGAGAGCCTGGGCAAGGGCAGAAGAATGTTCTCTGAACACTGGAGGAATGGAAACCTTAGATGGGTTTCTGGTTAATTACAGGGTCTGCCTGTAAAAGGAATACCAAAGCCTTTTTTCAATTCCTTTTTGATTTTCATGAAATTCTGCTGAAATGTGGAATTGAAATCCCTCTTGCAGAAGAAGCTTCTGAACTGGCCTGCGTGGGCTGTGCGGTTTCAGATTAAGAGGGGAAGTTTTATGCCCCTCCCCGACTGTCCCAGACAACCTCTGTTTCTCTAATTCCTTGTACCAACATGTCATCCAGTTGTGATCCAGATGTGCTCAGACTGAGATTGCATAGGCAGCCACTGCTGAAGCGTGCTTCTGATATAAAATTAAAAGGCAATTGAATTGAAAAGGTTGGCGTAACTTCCCCCTGCACTGCACAAGTGACCTGAATTTGTGACTTACGTGGAGAGCTTTCTCGTTACTTTGTACAATGAATTGTAAACCAGAAGTGCAAAGATACTAATCGAGGATATCTGTTTATTCCTTTCTTTTTTGTGGTGATAAGGGAATAATTACCAGTTTCACAGAAACACGCTGAGCTCAGCACCAAGACAGTATACAGTATCTTTACCACTCAATGGAAAAATGTTTAAATAATTAAAGCAAAGTTTCAGATACCATCAGTACTTGCTGTACATTATATCTACCCACATTCTTTCAGTCTACCAATCTATAACGATGTTAAGAATAGGCATGATCAGATGACGCAGGTTCCACAGCTCAAAAACGTCCTCAGTCTTTTAGTCCATCTGCGTGAGAGAATCTGACCAGCTGCTCGATGTCCAGAAGCGTACCAGCAGGTCAGACTTCGGTCCTGGCCTGGCATTCTTGTCTCCAGTTGATCCTACCATCCTCACAGCTCCCAGAACAGGCCTCGTTCCCAGTCCACAGTCCCTGGGACGCACTGCAGTAAACAGCAGGTCAGACAGTAAAGGTGTGAGCAGCCACTGAAGATTATAAAGCTCTTTATCAAGCTGAGAGATCTCCGTGCGGAATAGAGAGAGACACGTAAAGGTGCACGTCTGCCTACGTGTGCAGGGATGTAACTGGTGGAAACAGAGGCCGCTTGTGTTCAGCTGTGACCTGAGGAGAGCCTGTCTTGGAACAGTCCGGGGGGCAGACTCAGTGGGAGGACATCTGGCTGGGCAGCCTCCACGGAACAGCGTGGAAGAGCCTGTGAACGAGCATGAACTTTTGTGCAACGTTTTGTGCAACAGTTCGTTTCTCACAAAGTAGTTTCCTTTTGGAAACTGAGAAAGAAGGGGCAGCTTTCTGAAAAGTTCTTTTTTTTTTTTAAAGTTTCTTCTTTTTTTTACTCCATTAAATGTCCTGCTTAAAGTCCTGGTGGGTGCAAAGCATGCAGCGAGGAGCGATTAAACACAGGGAGCACATACTGTACATTCGGACGAATCCAGACTCCAGGCTCAGCGCCACAGCTGTGTCTGTCCCTGGTGTCGCCTGGTGATCATCGTTCGTGCAGGCATGCTCACAGTGGGCCCATGTGGCCCCGTTAAAGTGTGGTGCACAGGTGACATGGGCTTTCCTCGTCTGCTGTTTAGCAAGCAGTGGTTAGGAGCCACAGACCAGGGGCTGTGTGTGTGTAGCTGGTGATCACTGATGTCTCTCATTCATCTGCTAGCGTGTGTAGACTCTTGCTGATCTGTTTTCCCCCTCATGCCTTGGTTTGCAAAATGAACCATGTGCAGTGTGTTATTCCAACTAGCTTCGGCTTAATTTCTCCTGCTTTTGTTTTTTTTAATTAAGAATGTGCAGCTGTACTCCTGTCTAAGCAACTGTTAACAGCCAACGAGTTTTTACTTCCTTCTGCAGAGGTCTTGTTGGTTGCATTTCAGGATACACATCTAGATGAGGCCAACTCTGAAACTGGGTTATATCAAATTAAATATCAAATGTATCCTGCCTCAAAAATAAAACTGAAATCCATTATCCTGTGTTGAGGATCCTGGAGTGAAAAAGAGAAAGGCACTGGTTCAGTCAGTGCCACAGTGAGGAATCAGTGCTCAGAAGACGGGACAACACAACCTCTCTATGTGCTCTGACAAAGCCAGCACAGCGGGGCACGGGGTTCGGTATCGGACCTGCAACCGGAACCGGGGAAGAGGAAAACGCGTTACTGCTGGGAACAGCGGAGAACTGACATTCGCTTATCAGAACAGGGTGAGGGGCTTTGCTGTCGCTCGGGAATATTGCAAATTACGTCTTTGGTTGTGTCCGGTTCTCCTTCAAAAGTTGGTTTTCTATGTGTGTATTTCACAGCGTGGTTTTCCACAAACAATTTGTGCAGAATAATATGATGTAGATAATTCTTATCTTAATGACAGCAGAATATATATCTATATAATTTAAAAAGTCAATACCATTCATTCAGGCGAGATTTGGCATTATAAAACGTGTGCTTAAGAATCAGACTACTGCCCCTGTGTGGTCAATTCTATGTACTACAGAATTGATTTAGCTGTAGCGTTTCGACAAAATGGGAAAGAGCAGCTCTTTGCAAGGTTCTGTGCCAGAGCCGTCAGCTGTGCTCTGTATAAAACAAGTCTCTCAGAATGCACCGATGGATTACTCTGGATTGGAAGGGACATTTTATTGTTAAGTAGCTCTCTTTGTACGCATTAACTATATATTCCGCTTGTTCTGCACAGCAGGGGAAGTTCGCTAGGAAATGTTTCTGTTGTTGTTAATCCAGTGGGGATTGTGGCGCCACTGAGCATCAGTGACAATTTGCAGAGATTTCTTTTCATACCCGCTTTATCAAGCCACGACTCTCTTATATCCCTCGCATTTTTTAATGTTGGGGGCAAGATCAGCTTGCAGCTCTGTACTAAATCCGCAAGCTCCTTGCGATTGAACCGGCAATTTTGAACTACGCGTTTCGTTATTATGGAGGTACTCGTGTTTTTGTCACGGTGGACGTCCCGTGGGGAAACACCTGAAAAGAGGTCATTCTTGGCAGTAGCTCTTATTATTTCCTCTGCCACGTTTGACTTGAATATCCCACGTTGCGGGTAACTGGAGACACAGTCTTTCGCCCGCCGCTGGACTGCAGGTAAAATACCCACGGCCTTTCAGCAGCACGTTAAGAGTGGATCTCTGATGGCAGGAGGGAGCTCCGTCTTGTCTCTGTTCCCCTTTCTCGTCTTTGCCCTAAAGCTTTACCCAGACCTAAACGTTCAGAAGAAATGTACTGTACATATACATTAGGACGGAAAGAGCCGGAAAACCTTCACGTGCGCTTTTACAGAAGGTGCGCGAGATAACAAGAATGGTAACTCAGACTGATGAACATGTTAAGTTGGTATTATCCGTGTTTTGCCACAAATTAAAACAGGGAGGTAAACTCGCTGTAACAACCCTTGTTCTATTTTGCGCCTCGAAAGGCGTTCATTTCAAAAACGCCGCAGGAAAAGCGCCCGCCTCATTTGCGTGCAATTCTATGTTTTGAAAGAACCGACATCCTACAGGTATGTGAAAGTTAGAGAGGTGTCTCTGTGTTGTACAGCAAACAGATCTTATCCTTCCTCGGCAGCGGGAAATAAACTCCAAGGAATAGCACACGGCCGCCTGCACAGAGTCATTACTAGACTTCGCGCCCGCAACAAATGAGCCCTGCGTGTTTTCTGGGCTGTTTGTCCGAAGAACAATACCAGCAGTTGTCTGGGCTACCCGTGTGACCGCTCTTGTGGGAGATTAAGGATGCTTTATAGGAATACTTGGAGACTTTCCGAGCTTGTTACTGCTTTTATGAGAGTCGTGTTGCTCTGGAGAAATCGGGTGGTATCGAGTCACTCGTAACGCCACAGGGTCATAAGCTCAGCCGTGCTCTCCCATGAGAGGTGCTTCCTTTCGGGATGTGTTTTCGGCATCCATTAGGGAAGCGCTAAACTTTTCTTGTGTGAAGGAAGTTGAGAGCCGTGTCCCACAAATAGCGAAACGGCGCCATCGTCTGTGTGCGTTAAGAAATGCAACTGTATGTCATTTTGTTCTGAAGTTACTCAGCAGTACGTCTCAGTGCAAGCACATTCCTGTACTGGATACATGTGTATTACATAATTAAGGAAGCTGGGAGCTGAGGGCTATTAATTAGCACCTCAGAAAACAGCTGCTTTCACGTTTTAGTAAAAGCGGATGGAATTGTAGCTCATGATGCTCATACTCCGTTCATCTGAGATGAATTCCTCCAGCGGTACTTTTACACTGGGTTCAGGCGCCGAAGGATGTGGGTGTTCAGCAAGGCTACTACCTGCACTTCGTGGGAACTATGGGAACTCTAGTAGTTCCCATAGAGAGAGAAGTGGTGAAACCAGGGTGGGTTTGTCCTCTGCATCCACTCTCGGAAGAAGACTGAGACATTAAAATGAAGGAAACGGGGGTGGTGGTGGGTGAGGGGGGTGTTTTGATGTCCTACCTGACCAGCTTTGTTCCAGTTTGGTGCTCATGACCCAGGTGACCTGGCTGTGGTCCTACCTGAAAGGAAACAGGTTCTCCTTGAGCCCTTGAGCTGCAGGTGCCGTAAGGAGTAAGGGTTGCTGTTTCATGAGCGGTGGTGCTGAGCACAGCACTGCAGGAAACTAGAGCCCAGTGACAGTGACCTTAAAAACAGGCGGCAGGGCGCCACTTCATCTGAAGCCCCTCTGCAAGATTCCCGCTGAGATGAGGGATCCGTCCGTTTTCCTACCGCCTTATCCAGTACAGGATCACAAGGCAGTCGGAACCTATCCCAGCAAGCAACGTGAGCAAGCCAGGATATCCCCTAGACATGACACAAACGCAGACACACACCACACACACTCACACCAGGGCTAGTTTTCCCCAGAAGCCAATTAATCTGCCCGCATATCTTCGGATTGTGGGAGGAAATCGGAGCACCCGGAGGAAACCCACATGAAGCTGGGGAGAACATGCAAACTCCACACAGACAGCACCCCAGGTCAGGAATCGAACTGGGGGCCCCATCACCACGAGGC